CTTGTTGCTGTGTTTTGGTTGAGCAGCAATGATCTGCTGAGGCTGTTTAGCAGCAGGACACTTCATAGAAACATCTACATTGTCAGTGGCTTTCAGCAAGTTCAAAACCGCCTGCGTTTTCCTGCAGATGGCAAACAAACACATTACAATCCAAGCTGAACTCCCACAACAGCTTTAATCGTTTCAGTCATTTCACACAGGCTGATGAGTCAATCTATGAAGGCGGCTCATGAAAGTCATTTTTAACTAACCTGTTGATGAAAACATTAGTAATGCATCCGTTTAGGTTGTTCGGGCCTTCGGGCATTCCTCCCAGGAAGGTGTTTCCCATCGTGGACAAGACAGTTTTCATTGTTGGGTTCACTGTGGTCTGAGTCGATGTCTCCAGCACGTCATCCACGTACAGACGTATCCTGAGAAACGAGCAGAGAGGTCAAACGACACTCGGAACGCTGCTTCCTGTGGATGCGAGGAAAATGTAACCGCTGCCATCCTACCCCTTCACATTGTTGTATATGGTGACATAATGACTGATGTCATCGTTGTACGTCTTCTGCGTTTTAATCGCCTTGTTGCCAGCTTGCACCACGACGTGGCCTTTCTGCAAAAACACCTGACAGACGTCCTCCTGTGGCCACAGCAAATCACAAGAGTTTGAAACAAGGAAGAAGCCAGCACATCATAGATCCAACAGATCAGGACAGAAGAAGAATACGGGAAACAGACAGCTGAGAGGCAACGTTCAACAGGAAGTGGTTGAGGGTTTCCTCTGACCTGGTTTTTGTGGAAGAACATGAGTCCATCGGTCTTCTCAGTTCTGAAGCCAAGGCCGGCAAAGAAGTTGTTCATGATACTAGAAGCATCCGTCACATTAAAGTTCAGGTAGCCCTGACCTGGGAAATAACCCTCACGAGCCAACTGCACACACACACACACACAACATGAAAAACCTGCATTCACTCCTTTTTGTTACACGCTGATGGGTTCAGTGTGTCCTCCTACCAGCAGGTTGTCATGGCAGCCAAAGCTGACCCCATAGGTCTCCACCTTCTTCAGGCTGATATACTGTGTTCTTTCCTTCAGGTTCCTGATACAGGCCTTCACAGAGCCCGTCTTAGGAAACTTGTCCTTTAACCTGAGGGGAGACAAACACGATGAACTCAGTGTTAGTGGCCCAGAGCACATCCCTGATAATAACTTTGAATTTTAATCCAATTAGAAACTAGAAGTTCACAACATCTTAAATTAAACTTCCTACAGGTTTGTGTCCACTAGTTAAAATACTACTTTTACCAGCTAGCTGCTAACCTAAATCTGCTGTCTGATGCTGACTGAGTAACTATCAGCATCTTTAAGCTTAAAATCTCTGTAGCTGCCTGGACAGTACTCAGTGAGACCAGCAAACCCAGAAGACTTCAAATTAAATCAAAAGAAAAGTCCCAAGACATTACAAAGGGCAGTAATAATAGGACTCGTGCAAATCTGGAAAATGAGCTAAACAAAGGCACAGTTTGAAAGTTCACAGGCCTCCTGTCGACATAAACATGCATTAAAACATATGAGGCAGCCCCAAAGCACAAGACTTAGTGGCGAGGTAACGAGATGAATTATTAGAGCTACTCTCAGCTGCTTCCTTGGAACAAGGCTCGCTGCAGCAGGTAGCTGCTTGTTGGGTTTACTGTCAAATGGGACAGCGAATGTTCAATAGAGTAAATAGTAAATAAGTGGAATAAGTAAGTGTCTCACACATCCTTTTTCATGTTTAATTAAAATTAATAGTTTATTGTTTTCCATTTGTTTTAATTCAAAAGCCTTTATTACATTTTTCATATTGTATATTTCACTTATAATTAGTTAAAAAAGAGGAGTCAGATTTGCCCATCCTCCGCTCCAATCTCCAATCATTGACATGACAACAATTCTAGGGGGCAACATACAAATGTCAGTAGGGCCTGTGCCACCCCAGATGCCCCCTTTAGCCCTGCCCCTGTGCCTCTTTTCCACTCATGCAGTTCCAGACTCGCTAACGTTAGCTTAGAAATGGAGCAATAAGAAACTTAGTGCACGTACAGCTCAGGCATCTTGTCCTTTGGCACTCCACCCAGGTAACAGCTGTTGTCAAATTGAGGCATGCCTTTTATGGTAGTCTTGATGGTTTCTTTTTGGTTGTTCCTCACCATAAGTAGTTCACGCCAGACGATGAGATCCAGCTATATGGGAAAAAATGCAGCACATCACAAACAAGTACACAATACTGACCACTAAAAGGAGCAATCAGAGTGATCGGCATGCTTTGAAAGTAGGAACATGAAAAACCACGCAGAGGGACTCACACTGTTGGACTCGCCGTTGCTCATCTGCAAGAGTTCAGGCGGAGCCACGGGCTCGACGTCCACCAGAGAACCGTTAATATTATAGAAGAGCCTGACCTGGCCACGAAGCACCGCCACACACACAAACTGATTTTTCTGCACAGCAGACAGAAAAGAAATCCAGTTACACAGGAAAATATACAGATATGTGTGTAATAAGTACAGTGGGAACCAGAGCCGGACATTTGATGGCCATGACCCCGGTCCAGGAGGTCGACCCTTCCACTAACGGGACGGTTGGCTGCTATGGTGCAGCTATCAGAGCCTGAATGTTAAAGTGCTGCTGCGCATGAGGCTTGTTCAGAGCTAATGAAGTACAAATACTTCTTTACTGTATTTGAGTAAAGAAGTTGAGTCAGTGTATTTTTATACACAAGTATCTGTACTTCAGTAGAAGGACAGGACATCTGCACTTTTGCAGCTCGGGCCTGTTGTATAAAGCGCTCTGAGAGTAGAAAAGCTCATTCTTCCAGTTACCCTGTATAAAAAGTAACTCAAGCTTCTTCTGACGGCTCCGTATTTGCACGAGTGTCACCACGACAGAGAATAACAGAAGTGATGATGAAGAAGTGCAAAACCTGCAAATGTGAATCCAATATGTCAGGTTATTAGAAGATAACCTAGAACACGAGTGTGGAAATGAGGCAGCTTTGTGTGCTGCACGCACCGACTGGACTCCGCCCATGTGGGCGTAGTAAGGTCACCTGATTACTCTGTGAACTCTCTTTATGCTGTGCATGTGATCTGTTTGTTTGGTGTATGTAAATATGTACTGTTCTCTTTAGTTCTTACAGGAGGAACACTGTCATGTCATTGTAGGTGCAATGACGATAAACCCATTCTATTCTATTCTATTCTATTCTATTCTATTCTATTCTATTCTAAGGCCTTCAGCATTTTTGCTATGAACTGTCAGGGATTGTGTGTAAAGGGCACCCACTGCTGTGAATAAGGAAGTGCAACTAGCATCTTCTTTCATTATAATAGGGGCGGGGCTTACAAGGACAGGTGAGCAGCCCTCTGAGGGTCTGTGAGCGTATAAGCAGCGTTACCTCATTCTGCATCATCAGCAGGATCCCGTTCTGCGACAGCAGCTTGATTTCCTGTTGCACGACGTAACCTCTATCTGACTGAGAAAAATTAAACTTTGCATAGCCGGTGCCATCAAAGTACGCTCCATCACTGACCCAGGGCTCAGAGGTGGCTCTCATCCTGTTTGTTAAACACACACACACATATTTAAGAGACAAAGTTAGGAGTTGAAACACACCAGAGTATCTCAGAAAATAAGAAAATGATGAAAACTTTATTTTTTTTAAAGTCATCATTTAATAAGTGATGAACGTTCCTCCACTCGTCTGTGAGCGTCAGTGTTCAGCTATAAGAACACAAACGTTTGCATTTACACAACGACACTGAAATGAGATGCACAGCAGACAGACCTGGCACACGGTATGTCCACCGTGGTGTTGAGATTGAAGACGTCCACAAAGTTGTAGAGACTGATCACCTCCTCGTTCAGATAGTCCAGCTCAATGCAGCCCTTAAAGTTGGGCAGCGCGAGCACTTCAGGTGGCTAAAGACAAAAAGAGAAAGTGGAAACTCTTCATTATTCCTGTGGTCAAGGCACTAATGTGTAAACATCAACGAGCCTGCGTACCATCACAGGCGTTCTCAGTTATTCTCACTCTGGCTCCAGTTTTATTGTACTGACTAAAATAAGCGTAACATGGGGAAACGCTCTGTAACTGGTGGGTTTACAGCTCTTCCAGTACGTACTGTGAAAGTATTCGGATATCCTCCCACATAGAAGACGGTGTCATTGGCCGAGAGTTTGAGGAGCCCCTGATCTCCTTCAGCCTTGTTAGAGTGTTTGGTGGTTGTGGTGTCCATAGATACGGACATCAGACCGTGCTGCAGGATCCTACGCGCACCAACACGGGGAGCAGATCAATGCTACAACTCCTGCACACAGCTAGCATAAGCATTCACGTTTAATCGAATGACACCGTGTTGTGTTACATCGTGCGCTTCACCTCTCCAGCAAGACGGTGCTGAATCTTCCTTTGGACTGGATGTCGTTTGTCATCATCACATCTGCAGTTCCTCCTCCAACGTTGAAGTACCAGTGCAGCTGTTTCCCCACCAACGCCATGCCCAGGAACTCCTGACTCGGCTGAAAACCCCAAACACAGATTTAAAATACACGACACCTCCGATGTTCACATGAGTCTAAATGACCAAGTTAAGTCCTAAATTTATCCCAGTTAACAAAGACACACCCCGACGAGGACTGACAGACTTGACGAGCGACATGACGTCCAATCTGTCCAATCACACTTACGTTCTTGTTGCCGAGGTAAAACACAAACTGACTGTTGGAAGCATCCTGTCGCCGCGTCCGCACTGCGTCCGGCAGCTTGATGTGGAGCTTCATGGAGGTGTAAGCAGCCAGGTCAGCCAGGTTAGGCGGCGTACGCACCTGAACGCCTGATTTCCCATTAAACTTCATGGACACGCTCACCTGGATGGGGAAGGAGGAAAAGAACTCGTAATGGACGTCAGGAGGCTCAGACAGGTCCGCTCCCCTCTCAGTATAAATGTAATCCGTCTCCACCTTCAGGTTTCTGGAAACCCACATCTCCACTGATCTCACCTGGACCCACAACACCATCGCCCTGGTAACGAAGGTCGAGCAGCGGCTGCACTTCCTCCGTGTCCTGCTGCTGGCCCTCTCCCACTCCTCAGTCTCCCACACCTCCAGACTCACTGACAGCTTCCTCCCCCACAGCCAATCAGACTGTTAACAAACACTGGCCCCGCCCTCACACCCCACCCCTACACACCGACCTCACCAATCTGAGCCATGGTCTGAGTAACCCTTATCCCTCAGCCCACTCACACTCGGTCCTTTCCACTGCCTCCGATCACTTTGCAAGTATTTTGTTCTCCAATATGTCTGTGTATGATTTTGTGTATATTTCTCTGTGTCTATGATTTATATTTTATTAGGACCCAGAATTTAGCTGTACATGTACAATGACGATAAAAGACTATTAGAATGACATAATTTCCTTAGGTATTAATAAAGTAATCTGATTGTGATAAGAACCTCTGATGGAAGCACCTAGCACTGACCTCCAGGACTGAAAAATCAAATCAAAACCTGCAGTTCCTCTGACGTCCAGCAGAGGCAGCAGTGAGTCAGTGCCATGTTAAAATTTTACATTTGAAATAAACATGTTTACAGCCTCATACACAAACTGTTTGGCCTCTATAGACAGGTGGGTGCTGACACAGGTGGCTGTAGCTGCTAGCTGTCGGCTAGGCTAAACTGGACCTCTGGACCCTGTTTGTGCTGTTGGAGTCTTTCGGAGCATGTTTAATGACATCATGTGACCAATAACACGGCTGCTGTGAGGTCACTGCACTAACACAGTGCCCAACTCAGCACTATGAGCAAGCTAGCAATAGCATCCAAATATGGCCACATTTTTGGTTCTGTCCATCTTTTTATACAGTCTGTGGGTGTACCTTGTTGGCAGCATTGCGCGCCTGCTCTATGAGCTGTCGGATGCGGTTGATGTTCTCGGAGATGTTTGGCATCTGAACAGAGTAATTCTGCAGGTCGCCCAGCCTCTTCAAGAGTTCAGGAATAGCTTCACCCAGCCTGTGCACTGCAGACAGACAGACAGACGTTTACAGCTCATGTCTCACCAGCGCCCCCTACAGTGAGTGTTCAGGTAACATCCAGGCCTTTTTACCTGGTTGGAACACCTTTCAAAGGCAAACAAAATTAATGTCTGACACTCTTACAATCTGAGATGTGCAGCTCAAACAGAACCCCAGAATAACCTTTGGAGGGCTCAGCGACCTGATGAA